ATACGAGACTATTTTCCACATACAATACATACGAAACAGCAACAGATCCACAAGAAATCATTTCACGTCACATTTTCTTGCGTCCGTATTTTATTGCCTTCGTAATTCTCCGGAACAAAATGAAATGTAAAATACAAAATTCAGGACTAATAATTCGAATAATATTCCTCTAACATTAAACGTGAATCGTCGTTAATATCATACAACGTTCAATTCTATGTACAATATAATATAGAAAATTCAAGTTCAGCTAACGTCCTCGTTCTCGCGGTCATCAGTGTCTATTCGCAACGCGTTAACCATTCATTACTCGTTCGATGACCTGTTCTAACTTAATATTACACTGTATGCTCGGAGATTGAGTTACATCCGCAAAAATTACGCTCGAATTACATTACGTTGCAATTTCGTATAGGATTCGCTGAAACGGAAGGACGGCAGAAGCAAATCCCGCCGATTCGACAACTGTGAATATTGAATCAGCGCTAAGCTATTTTTCTTCTCTGTCTAATGATTTAGTCAAACTGGTTGCTCGGGCAATCGACGAACGTTCTCCTTCGGATCTGATTTCTTTTCAAATTCAATTCCGACGAAATTTATGAAGTGCTTGCTGTACATCGAAGTAACAGTACAATTTCTTTAGGAAGTATGTACAGTCCGTTTGAAGTTCAATATTTAATGAAAAGTGCTGTATAAATCATTCAATTGTTTCAATATAAGACACTTGGTTGTCCGTTAAAACAAGCACAGGACATATTCAGGGTTTTATTAATTCAATTTTTATTTCATTGAGCACTGATTAACGTTTCATTCACAATAAAATCTTATTTAAAATTGGAGATTAAAATTTATTTCGTAATTGAATCTCGTGTAAGAAAGATCAATCTTAATCCTTCATAAATTCTTGAAAGTGATCATTAATTTTTAATTAAAGGACTTGAGGATTATTTTTTATTCGTACGAGATTCGATTAAAGAATACATTTTAATCTGATCGAAATAAATTAGACTGAATTTTGGTCTGAATCGTTTCAATTAATATTTACAAGTTAATTATTAATGAAAAAGGCATTTGATTAATCTTAAATTTGACAAATTTTTAAATTTTTAGTTAAGATCATACAATTAATGATTATATTTTAAATCACAATTAAATATCATTTAATTAATGATTGTAATTTAATCGTTACATTGCTAATAGGACAATTAACAATTTGAAAATAGTACTTTGAAGAATTCGCAATTTGTAGAATTCTTTTTATTAAGTCTTTCAAATTATTCTAAACAAGAGTAATCGAGAAGTTTAGATCAGTTCACTTGCAATAATTTATAATAGTTACTCTTGTATCGACAAGTTTATCACTCGTTGATACAAAGATTAGCTGTAAGCTTAATTCTAATCGAGAAACGATTTTGTATAAAGTCCTCTGTTATCACTCGAAAGTATTCCGCGATATAATTGACATTTTATTTATCGACATTTTATTAAATTTCGTTCCACGTTCATTAAGCGTTCGAAAGAAGATGCATCGAATTTTTAATGAAATGACATTCTATTTCAAGGAAATAGCAAAAGAAGGTTTGGTAAAATTAATCGATGGAGGATCATTTTCTTTCTTTCTAACATACTGATTTATTGATCAGAAATTCAGAGGACGCTTTTCTTGCAAAACTGTCGCGCTAAAGTTTCCTTGTAGCCGACGAGTGTTTTTAACTCTGTGATATTTCCCTGAGGAACGAGAGGAGAAACCAGGAGACAAGCAGGAAGGGAAAATCTTAGGAAATAAGAAAAGTCCAAGTCTCGAAGTTTCTGCAATGGGAATTCATATTGAAGCTAAAGCTAACGTTATATGGAAAGGCTTCCTTCGGGCTATTATATTACATTCACTCTTTCATCAAATCAGGTAATCAAGTTTTTCAAGAAATTTAGTACCTTGTACTTTCATTTCAACAGAGATTTTGCAAATTTATAAATTTTCAAATGCAGAAATATCAAGCTTCAAAATATAGAAGAACCAAATTTACAAACTGAGCAATTTTGAAACGTACATTTAGAAAATAAAAAACTCAGGAATGTAGTCTATCAATTTACCTAATATTCTAATAATTTGATCATTGATTTTTCAAACCAAGAAAATGTTGAAATATCAGCGTAATATTATGAACCCTTGCAAACAATTTCCGAAGTGGTATTTTTCGAAGAATAATGTTGACGATATGAAAGGTTTACCGCGAATCGAAGGAAAGTTACAGTCAGTTTTCCACAACAAATTGTCCAAGCGTCAGCTTGAAGAAACGCCTCATAAAATGAATCGAACGAGTGTGAGGAAGTTTGCTCGGTCAGCCAGGTTGGATCGATGGTCGGATTGCAAGCAGGAAAAGTAAAGTTTGTTTTGGCCAGTAGCCACGAGCCTCCATCGGATCGCCAACCGAGTGATAACGATAACTCTAGTAAATGCTCGAGCTAATATCGATTGTCATTAGACACCGTAGGAAATTCGTTTGTCTATTCGCGCCACCATCAGGACCAAACCAATGCACGGGTTAGGTTAGAGCAACGTGTTGTTCGTCGATCGTTTTGTTTCTTTCTCAGCGCAGAAGGACTTCAGCCTTTGACGTTCCCTTATATCTTATGATATGTTACAAGAAACAGAAAAAAGGGACACTTTTCTTGTTATGTCGCTATTGATCGTTTTTTCGTCGTTCAGAACAGAGCAGACCGAGCACGTGTGTTTTGTATTTTAGTTTCAGAACGAAGTTGATGGACAATCACTTTTTACAATTGGCATACATGATGTTGTGTAATAGGTGGTACAAAAGAAAATACAACAGTTTTATACGTTAGGTTAGCTTCAAAATGCAGAATCTTATTGTTAGACATGTTCGATATGGATTGTTTAATGGTTGGTCGCTTTTTGGACAAATTTTTGTGTCAGACTCTTTGGATATTTTAGACTCTTAAGATAGTAGTTTTCAAACTTATGTTCTCTACAAATTTTATATTCATTTTATGATGAGAAAGAATCATTTTGTTTCTATTTATACCATCAGTTACACGCCATTTTGTATGAACGAATTTAGGAATTTGACTAACGAGTTACCTTTTCATTTTCCATTTTATTAAGATAATACGTTGTATAATAAGTGAAAATGAGTAATAAAACTTACAAGATAAGACAGCACAGGCGGTACGATTGAGTACAGTACGATTCTATGTGTAAAAATAAAACGAAACTGAGTTTTTATAAAAAATAAGATAATTATGAAAAACATGTACTTTATATCACTATTGAGCATTTGTAAGAATTTGAAATTTTACATTTTTGAATTTCTGTGTCCCAAACTATCAAATTTCCAAATTCTTGAAGTTTGAAATTTTTTAATACTTAAACTTGTAAATTAACAAATTACCAAAGTACCAAAGTTTTAATTTGAAAGTTTAACAATGTGGAAATTTGAAAGTTTAACAATTTGGAAATGTGAAATGTCTGTCAATATTTCTAAATTCCTATTTTCGTTTTATTTAAATACATAGAATTTATCGCTTTTTTTAATTATATTCGCAATACCTTGTAGTACGCAAGTACAAATAATCCTTAAATTATCAATGCCGTTTTGTCTGCTCTATACTGACGATATTATTTTACAGCTAATTCACGACTATATATTATGCACCTCGTGATCTCGTGTTATCACGAAATACCGATATTAAACAATGTGGATAATTTTATATGCAACACTCTTAAAGATTAGTGCCTAGTCGCAACAGTAGTTTAGTTATTGTTCTTGAGCATAGAATTCGAATGTGATTTTTGTTTCACTGATTTTTGCGTCTAGTCAACGGATGTTTATTGCAAATAATCGAAGTCATACAGCGATGACATTGTTATACAAAATCATTCTCACAAATAGTATGAAATACAAGAATTTTAATATCGACGGTAAAGATAGATACAAAAGTTAAAGTTATATTAAAACGCTGTAAATATTTGATTCTACAAAAATTCACCAGTTAAAAAATATCCGTACAAACGTTTGTATATTAAAATTGATCGTTTTGGATGCATCGATCACGGCAGTGTTTATATATTTCAAACGATTATTAATATAATGTAATTCAATAATTTATTCATGAATGTATAAAAGAATGTTTAATTAATGTACCTTCCATCTTATCAACTAGACGCAATAATCGACTTAATTAGATTACAGACAAGAATGTGTTTTACCACGTGAGTGCTTAAATGCAGAAATATAAAAACTATTACAAGTTTCTATCTAAATAGGCGTGTAGAAACATTGAGTCGGTCTCGTCGTGGGTTAGAATGTCATTTCCGATGTTTGCAGATTAAATTAATTTTTATTTGTTAATTTGTGATTGCGATTATTTTAATTCTTTACACAATTACTCATATTTGATAGGGGTGGTTTTTGTGCAGGTTTAAAGATTTAGACATATTTAAATTTTTGAGAAAATTACTTAGGTCTCAAGTTTACATGGTTTAAATTTTTGAATTATCAAGATTGCAGAATGAAATGTTAGATTTCTAAATTCTTATATTTTTCAAATTACTAAATTGCAGATTTGCAGATTTAACTAGTTTTGAAAATTCAGAATACAAAAATTCTCAAAGTTTTAAATACTTGAATTAGGGAATTATTAAATTTTGATGTTTTCAAATTTCTAAAAACCCAAATTTCTAAGTCCTTAAATTCTTAAACCCCCAAATTCCTAAATCCCCAAATTCCTAAACCCCCAAATTCTTAAACGCTCAAATTCTTAAATACCAAAATTCTCATATCTCCAAATTCTAAATCCCTAAATTCTAAAACCCCCAATTCCTACATCTCCAAATTTCTAAATCCCCTAATTTTCAAATTCCCAAATCCTTAAATCTCCTAATTCACAAAATCCCCAGATCCTTACATCCCCAGATTCCTAAATCTCCAAAATTTCCAAGCTCCAAATCCTCACATTTCCCCATTTCTAAATCCCCAAATTCTCAAATTCCCAACTCACTTCTTCGAAAATCCAAAAAATTGAGAATTCAGAAATCAACAACCCAATTTACAAATCGCAAATTTAAAAACATCCAAATCTCTAAACTCACAAAGTACAAAGTCATAAATTTGAAAGTTTCTATCTTTCAAATCAATCTCGCATCACTTCACAAAAATACACCCCTAATGTTTCAAATCCGAAGCACGAAATCCGTCTTATATTTTGCATTTTCTCCCCAGCATTTGACTACTCCGCTAAAGGCATAGATTTTACGTCCTCGTGATATGGTGTTCATTAAGAGTTACGCAGGATTAGCGTGGAAATGTCTGCAGGAAGTTCAGGACATTTTAGAGACACTTCGTATATCCTGGGAACATCTTACTCAGAAGTTGCGTAATGCCATTATGTCTTAATCAAACGCGATATTCGCTGAAACGGGTTAAGTTTGTGTTGCATCACCATTATTTCATTTTAAATGATTTACTCGAGGCAAACGAGTACCGTTAATTGTCTCGTAACACGTTTTACACGATCAACAATTCTGTTCCGCAAAAATATTTTCGTTTCAATTAAACGCTGATTCGATACATGAAAAAACGTTTCAGATTTGCAAAATTCTTCCACGTTCGGAAATGACATTCCAACAATTCTCAAATTTACTTTCTTCAAAATTTCCTGCCTCTCGACGAGAATATCGTTTAAACATCCTAATTCGCATCCGAGAACTACGCGAAAGCCGTCCATTAACGGTGCACGTATTCACGAAGGACACGATACAACGAAACCTCAGTTCCGCTTAGAAAAAAAGACACTTTACGAAAAGATATAAAAAAAGGTCAGTCCACATTCCCCTGAACTAACATCGAACCGAATAAAAATGTCCTCCGATTATTCTCGTTAGCCGAAGGTGTACACTATGTCACTGCGTTAGAATAATTACATTCCCGTTCGCGACACATACATATTCATCGAGTGTACCTAATCGATCAGGAACACCGTATCATATTCCTCAAAGAACGTCCTCGAACGAACCCATTCAACAGGTCTCTTCACTTGGTTACCTTTATCGGGCATGCAATTTGCCCGTCAGAAATAAAAAGGCTAGAGTTTTACATTTCAGTGTTCTCCTCGGCCTCTTCGTCGACCTTCGGCAACATGTAGACACCAGGAATCGGCGGTACGTGATCCTCGAGTTTCAAGATCGGCTTGCAGTCTCTGGTGACGTCCACTTGATTGAAAGAGTCCTTCAGGATATTGATTTCGTTCTCGTGGGCGAACAGGCTGGTCGGCGGTTCCGTTCCACAAATATCGTTCTCGTCGGTGCCGTTCCTGTGGCACAGGTTGCCAGACGGAAATTGTCACGAGGTCAACGCGAAGGGATCTGTAGACAGCTCGTCCACGCTCGGGCTGGATTTAACCGGTTCCTGCTTCTCTGTTTGATGGCTCAGCCTGTGGACGATCTCGTCGTGGAGGATGTTGAAACACATAGCCGTGAGCGCCATTCCGGACATTATGTAGCACGAGCAGAACCAAATGGTCTCGTTCCGAGATTCGTACAGGCTTTGCCGTGGATAGGAACCGGGTACCATATCGCCGAATCCGATTGTACTCAGGCTCATGAAGCAGAAGTAGCTCGCGTCTGTAGGCACATGAAATTAATTCGGTTATATTGATATTAGTCGATAGCGATACTGATGTACATCGCATATTCAAGTCTTTCATATTTCCTTAATTGTGTCATAGGTAGCTTAGCTGGGCAATAATATACATTGGTTAGGTTAGCTTTAGTCAGGTCTATGTAAGTTAGATTAGATTAGTAAGTTACACAGTACCAAATCTATTGTATTTTCTTAATTGTGACATAGGTAGCTTAGCTGGGTAATAACATACATTGGTTAGGATAGCGTTAGTTAGCTCTATGTAGGTTAGGTTAGATGTAACTCACACAGTACCAAGTCTATCATATTTCCTTAATTATGTCATAGGTACCTTAGCCAGGTAATAGCATGCATTGGTTAGGTTTACTATATAAAAGAAGTCACTATGCACTGTAACACCTATTCATGTAACATAACATGTATTACCGACATAATATTACCGATCATAAAATAAATTATACATACAAAAAAGGTCATTATGCATTGCAATAATTATTCACGTATTATAACACGAATAACAAAAATGTATCACACATGTAAAATAAAATGTGCATATAAATTTACTGATTAAACATTGCAATAATTATTCACGTACTATACATGTAAAATGAAGTGTGTACATAAAATTAGGAGACAGAACGTGTTAAGCATTTGAACCATGATGTGAAGTGTGGATGCGGGTCTTTCAGAGCAAATCTCTTTCGCACTTACCCACAAAGGACCAGCCGTCAAACTTGTACAAAGTAAAAGCTCCTGCCACGATGTAACAGAGCATTGTGCCCAAACAAATGCTGATTGGTGCGAGTATGGTGACATTGGGTCTGTCACCGGAACCAAGACTCGACACTTCGTCCTTCGGGCTGGCCTTAATTTCCACAGTGCTGGTAAACGTTGACGCGTTCGCGCGGACGTAAAATGGTTCCTGCAACTGCAATTGCTGTTGCTGCTGCGCCAATTCCTCCTGCTGCCTCTTCTTCCTCATTCGTCTTTCCTTCTCCTGCGATTGTAGCAATTTTAAAGCAATTTTTGAGATCGATCATTGGGAGAGAATGACATGAGGTTTATCTCGCGTATTGGGTTTTGAAAGGAATTTAGAAACCTTTGTTAAACACCTATCATCTCTTCTTCAAACGAAATAAAACCACAATTGTATTAATTAATATTTCAATACAAAAATAAATTTAAATGAATCTAGAGTTCGTATAATGTAGGTAATGAAATCTATTTCGAATTAAATTTTGCCTTTCACCTGACCGATAGCCTGTCTATATTCATATCAGTGTCGGACAGAAATTCCCAGAAATTGAAATGAAGAGCAAAATCGTGTATTCGACAGAATTTTCAACAGTTTCGATGGTAATAAAATCCATTGTGTGTAAATATCGTGTTTCAACGTGTATTATCCGTTTCGCAATAACATAAATATAAATATAATTATTAGTCTACAGCGAAATTAAATTAGGAGGTAATTATCATAAATATATAACACATTGAACATTTATTTCATCGTTACTAACAGTCCACGGAAATTCACGTACAAATATATGTATTTTTGAAAATTTTTACTCGTAAATCGAATAAATGGATTGTTTATTTTGGAAGTGGTCCATTTTCATTCATAGTAAGTCCATTTTCATTTATTTTGAGAACATTAAAGGTTAGCATATATCAATGGAGAAATATAGGTTATATCAAGACTGGCAATTCAGCTTTTATACTGGTTTATCAATATGTAATTCGGTTATATAAATTTGTTTTAGGTGATTTAACTGGGATGATGTAGATTCGTGCAAATGGATTTACACCACTTTTAAAATAAACGGTTCAAATATCGTTAAATAAATATCGGGTTCAACAATTGTCAAAATATCGTTTGCTGTGTTATGATATAACATTGATATTTATTGGTTAATCGAGTTTACTCACCTCCATTCGTCTCTCGTCGTAGCAACAGTAACCGCAGTTCGAACAAAGGCAACAGCAAAGGGCACGCGTGAAAACACCCCTAGCACACCTGGACAAGAGGCCTCCAGCACTTGACAGGTAAACTAGGGTCAAGGGGATTCCCAGACTGGCGTAACCCATGGTTGCGATCTTCCCCCATGTAGACTTTGGTGTTACACTACCACAACCTGTAAAGTATCATCAGCCACTCAAAACTTCACCCTTTAATCGTCGCAAAGTATCATTTACAGTCTTTTATTTTAAACTTTCATTAAAGTTGAAATAACATATGATAGCATTTATGAATATTGTAATTTCTTCCAAATGCAAGTCTGCCATTTTGTATTAAGAATATTGACGAAACATTTAAGTAATCATTTCTGTTCAACCCTAAACTTCAAATTGACCCACTAGTATTATTTTAAAATATTTTTATCTTACATAACATACAATATATCACATATGTGTAACTATATAATTTATCGTAATTTAAGTAATACTTATGTTGCAAAAATGTCTTTTCAACTACCTATAGAGGGTTGCATTATATATTAAAAATTATGATTTTTCCAATTCACGATTTGAACAATTCTGCAGGAAAAAATGTAGTTGCCAACGAACCATGAATGATTGAATTATAATAAATAGAATTATGAGTGATATACATAGCATCCGGAGAAAATGAAAAATTCCTTATTGACCATCGCAACTTTCATTATTTCCGATTCCCTTGCCTTCGGACCTGCATTATTATCAGTTCCTCTTCAGAACGGCATCTCCCCTTTCCAATAAATGGGGAGAACAAAGTATCGAGCAGTTGGTGGAAATCCGCCGGCTATAAACTCGTAGCAGCTTCCAATGACAATTAATCGTAATATCGACGAATCGACTAACAATTTACGCACGGGATGCAATATTCTCATAAATCAGTGATTCTCAACTGTTTTGTAGAGTTTTGGACATTTTTTTAATTTTTTGACTTTGGGTTTTGGGGATTTGTAAAGTTGGTACTTGGAGATTTTGGAATTTTGGTGTTTAGAGTGTTTAGGGTTTTGGAATTTTGGAGTTTAGAAAATTCGAAATTGAAATTTATGGTTTTGGGATTTGGGAATTTGAAATGTTGGTACTTAGAGATTTTTGAGCTTTGGTGTTTAGAGTATTTAAGGGTTTGGAACTTTGGAGTTTAGAGTATTTAAGGTTTTGAAGCTTTGGAGTTTAAGGTATTTAGGTTTTTGAATTTTCATAAGTTTACCTTTTGGTAGGTTTTGTAATTTCAGAATAATAAGACTTCAGAATTTTAGATTTTTCTAAATCCTAACATTTTTACATTTAAAACCTCGCAATAAAAAATGAGGGAGTAATAATTCCTTAATTTTGGAATTCCATAAAATAATGCATTATAAGCTGGAATTTGCACTGCAATAAATAAAAAACAGCGAACAATTTATAAACGGATCGTGACTGCATATTTGAGGAGCCTAGTTCTAAACGGAAGTTGGTTAGCATTCTATAAGCGTCTCGCAAAAAAGAAGACTAAGCATTTTGCATAAATGAAGAGTCGAGGGTGAAGTGGGTGGTATTTTCCGATAGTCGAGAAACGGCGGTAGAAAAAAGTGAAGGTGCGAATCGATCGGGTCGACATCGCTTAAGATAATGGATCGTCTATTGGAATTGCTTTGGACTGTGCATGATAGCGGTTTCGAGTGCATTGCCGATGGAATTGCACGAACGGAAATCTCGCGTTTTCTTCGCGGAAGCCTATTCGTCACTGTCGTCTTATCGTTTACGACCGTGTAAGACCGATTTTCTATCCGTTATTTATTGCGGTACGTTAAAAGCTGTGGCAGATTGTCATCTCGTCTTTTATTGATTAAATTTTTATTACTCTTTAACGAGTTCGAATAAATACACTGCTCAAAAGAAATATGGCATAGAAAAATTTTAGGCAAAAATTGGCCAAATTTGACTGATGATAACTCCGTGAAAAATCATCGCAAAGTTATGCTCTTTTTTTCAAATTAAAGCTTGAGATCTCTACTTTAAGACCCTGTAGTTTGATTTTAGATTTGATGCATCACTACCACAATAACACCGTAAATGTGAGATCATGTTTGCAATATTGAAAATTACAAAGTTTGACGAAATGCATGGACTTGCCACATTTTTTTTTGGTGATACTGTTTACAGCAGCATAAAGTACAAACCTTCATCTTTAATTTCCAGTATGTGAAAAACCGCTACCATTTTTTCCCGCAAAGATACAGAACTTTAAAGAAACCCTTGCATTTATGGCATATACCGCCGGCATTAGCATTACCCGACATGCACCTCGGAGAGGTTGCTGGACAGATTTTGCACATCATATGGCTCTGACAAGAACCTATTTTTGTATGTATTTGTGTGTGAGTATCTGTGTGTGTGTATGTTTGAATTCTAATAACGCGTGTTTCCTCCGCGTTGTTGAATTATCCCTTGCAGCCTATTATTCATGTTAATGCAAGCCCTAATTTCTTTTTGTGGAATGTCATTCCAAAATTGAGTTAAGACTTGAGACAAGTCTTACAGATTGGCAGGTTGTCTTGTTAAATTTCTGTAGGGTTCAAATCTGGACTTACTGCAGGATGTGGAAGCAATCGAATTGAATTGGGATTGCAAAATTCGAGAATGATTCTCAACGAGGTTTCTCGACGATAATTCATACACACACACAGATACTCA